CCCCAAAACCCCAAAACCCCAAAACCCCAAAACCCCTATAAAATAAAAATTAATTGAGAAATATGAAGAATTGAGCAAGGTTTATAAGAAAACCATCGGCTGATCATGTAGCGGTGATGAAGAGGAATTCGCAAGGTATTTTTAGGAGGGATTTTTAGAAAGATTGTCTGCCAGGCCTGGAGATAAGTCAAAGCCGGTGAGAGAGTACTCTCATAGGACAGAAGCGAGGATTCAGAAGGGTTCTAGGATGAATTCAGCAATCTCTCGATCAACTCGGCAAAGAAATTTTGGAATAATTAGTCACAAGGATATTAAAAATAGTGAAAGAGCTTTCTCCACAGTTTCTGTTCAAGGCTCTATTGATAGCAAAGCTGAAATAGCTCCTGTTTATAAAAATTTCAAGAATTATAAATAACCTCAGAGGGCAAAACGAAAAGTGGAGCTTAAAAGATGTTCCAATAAAGTTTTTAGGAAAGCCATCAAATTTTAATTTTCTCTACAATTCCAACGCAATGACAAATTACTACAATAGTCAGATAAAATCAATAGACTTATCTCCTGAGAAGGTCTATACATGGGACAACTCTGAGAAAAAGGATAAAATAGGAGACCTCAAGCAGGTTCTCCTCAACAGTAATCGCAAATATGGCACTATTGTCCCTGTTCCACAAAAGAAGAGGATGAACAAGTCCTTTGACAATAACCTGCTATATGATTATCCAGCCTCTGAGAGCTCATTTATGACCCTAAATCCTAACTCCCCATGTCAGAAAGTGAATCATTCGAGGAAAATGAGTAAAAATAGCTTAGTTACTGATTACAATTCAAGTGGTGCTAAGAAAGCTCATAAAATACACAGGTAATAACAGCTAGTGGCTTATGCTTATCCATTTTAGTGCGAGAAAGGAGCAAACTCTAATGAACATCAAGAAGAGCTATAGAGTCACCTCAATCTCCAATATTGGTCAACCCCTAGGAAAGCCAAACAGGTATAACCCTAAGGAAATAAGGATGAAGAGGTACAAAGCCAAGAATTTGAAATAACGAATCAAAAAATTTTCTGATTAAGGTCGAGAAAGCACCTAAGCCACAAGGTGATTTGAACAAATTATTTTATCGTAAGGAAAGTAATTATACAAATCTTGATTATAACCCCATTACTGGTGCTAAACCTCTCAGGCCAGCCACTGTTGGAGGGTAAGTGCTTTCTCTTACCAGTAGATCGAAACAAAACAAAACCAACCCAGCAGCCTGGAACGGAAGAAGAGATATATTTGGTGCAATTTTTAAAGAAACTCGCAAATTAGCTCCTCATTACATTCAGAAAAAATAGGAAAATGATTCAAAATAATCCCAAAGCCTTTTTTAAAACTAAAGGAGAATTCACTAAAAAGTTAAATCATGAAATTGTCAGGAATTTTTCGATGTAAGTATTATTTCTCTATTGGGCTTCTCTCTAATATCTATCTAGAATCCCACATACGAGCCCAAGCAAGAAGAAATAGTAATTAAGACCTCTAAAAAGGCTTAAATTCTTAACAGAAAACTTTCAACTTGATTCTAGAATCCTGGGGTTTTGGGGTTTTGGGGTTTTGGGGTTTTGGGGTTTTGGGGG